CATCTTCAACAAATGGTGCTGGGAAAACTGGAAATCCATATGCAACAAAATGAAATTGAATCCCTTTCTCTCACCATGCACAAAAGTCAACTCAAAATGGATCAAGGAGCTAGGAATTAGACCAGAGACTCTGCGTCTAATAGAAGATAAAGTTGGTCCTAGTCTTCATCATGTGGGGGCAGGCCCCAAATTTCTTAATAAGACACCTATAGCACAAGAGTTAAAACCAAGAATCAACAAATGGGATGAATTCAAACTAAAAAGTTTTTTTCTCAGCAAGAGAAATAATATGTGAGGTGAATAGGGAGCCTACATCCTGGGAACAAATTTTTACCCCTCAACATCTGATAGAGCTCTAATCTCTAGAGTATACAAAGAACTCAAAAGGTTAAACAACAAAAAGCAAATAACCCAATCAACAAATGGACCAAGGACTTGAACAGACACTTCTCAGAGGAGGACATACAATCAATCAACAAATACACGAAAAAATGCTCACCATCTCTAGCAAGCAGAGAAATGCAAATTAAAACTACTCTAAGATACCATCTCACTCCAATAAGAATGGCAGCCATTATGAAGTCAAACAACAATAAGTGCTGGCGAGGATGCCGGGAAAAAGGTATATTCATACATTGCTGGTGGGACTACAAATTGGTGCAGCCAATTTGGAAAGCAGTATGGAGAGTCCTTGGAAAACTGGGAATGGAACCACCATTTGACCCAGCTATTCCCCTTCTCGGACTATACCCAAAAGACCTAAGAAGAGCATACTACAGGGACACAGCCACATCAATGTTTATAGCAGCACAATTCACAATAGCTAGAAATTGGAACCAACCTAGATGCTCTTCAATAAATGAATGGATTAAAAACATGTGGCATTTATACACAATGGAATATTACTCAGCACTAAAAAATAATAAAATCATGGCATTTGCAGGCAAATAGATGGCATTAGAGCAGATTATGCTAAATGAAGTTAGCCAATCCCTAAAAAAACAAATGCCGAATGTCTTCTCTGATATAAGGAGGGTGACTCAAAATGGGATAGGAGGAAGAGCATGAGAAGAAGACTATCACTAAAGAGGGAGAAGGGGAGTTGCACAGAAGATGGAAGGAGAATCTCATTGTTATACAGAATACATATATGATGTTGTAATGAGAAAAAGAAAAAAAAAGTGTGTCACATGAGTTAGAAAGGATCGGAGAGGAGGGGTGGAGTAGGGAGGATAGGAAGGGCAGCAGAATAGAATAGACAATATGATTGATGTATGTACATTCCATTTATGCATTATATATCAAAATGCATTCTACTGTCATGCATGACAAAAAAAATAAATAAAAATTTAAAAAAAAAGATACATTGAAAGATGAGGGGCAGAAGGTTTCTATATAACTAGTGGCTTGCTAGATGAAGTATTCTATGCAATTATCCTAGAAAGCTCCTCAAGAAAATTTAAAAATAATTGATTTACAGAGAGAGTGTATGAAATAATTAGATATAAATACCTTTCAGTTGTACATCGATCTGCAATCATTTGCAGTTTTTTCAGTAATTGTAAAAGTATATTTTGTTATAGAGGATGTATTAGTGCATGATCTGACAGTTGGAACATTGTAGAAATAAAGCAGTAATGAACAATAAATGCCTGTCACAATTATATAGAAACCTAATGTAAATCTGGTAAATAAATAGAATCTTATTTACTTTATGTCTAGGGCCTTATTTCTCTAGGGTGGAACTACTTAGTATAAAAGTGTCTTTAAGCTTCCTAAAGTAAGCCAAATTGCTTTCCAATATGGTTGTACAAATTTTAGATTCTTGTTATTGTGTAAGATGCTATTTCCTTATGTGGAAACTTATACTTGATAGAACTGAAAATGTTTTACCTACCTGATGGATATGACATCAAGTTATTTTAATTTCTTTGATAACTAGTTGAGCATCTTGTCCACCTTCCTTGCCCTGTACTGGGGATTGAATCCAGGGACGCTCCACCTCTGAGCTACACACCTAGTTCTTTTTTTATTTTCTAAGTTACTGAGGCTGTTCTGGATCTTATAGTACTTCTGCCTCAGAGTCCCAAGTAGCTGGGATCACAAGCATGTGTCACTGCACCTATCTGGGTTGAATATCTTTTTATGTTTTCTAGTCTTTTTCCTTTATGGCTTGCATGGTTTGTATCTTTTCAGAAATCCTTTCTACTCTTTTAAAATTATGCTTCTGTGTTTTCTACAAATTTGAATTAATATGCAGCCTCTTTGGGGTTAGAGGTATCATTCAGTGGAAGAGAGAGCACTTTCATAGTTAATATAAGACCCTGGGTTGGATTGACAGCACCACCAAAAAGAAAATAATGTTGCTATGTGGTATAATGTCACCTCTCCTACCTATATCTACCAAGCTCCCCATGCATATGTGTGTGGGACTGTTTGAGAACCTTTTATCTTCTTTTGTTGGTCTATTATAGGATATTTTAAAATGGATTTTTTTTTTTAAAAAAATGTAAAGCTTCAAATGTTTACAAAGAGAGAATTATGTAAGGAACTCTCCGTACTCATCACCCATATTTAGCAGTTACCAAGAATTGGCCAAGCTAGCATAATTTTGTCTTTAATGTATTTTAAAGCTTATTGTAGATCTTAGATGAAGAATATAAAGGTAAAATCTAAAATCAACTATTATACCCATCAGAATTAAGCATCTTATATAGTATTTCAGTCCGTATTCAGTTTTATTAAAAATGTCTATAGTTTGTTTAAATCACAATTCAACAAGGTCCTCAGATTTAACTATTTTCCTCCCCGCTCTTTCTGGGGATCTAACCCAAGTCCTTACTGCATGCTAGGCAAATGTTCTACCGTTAAGCCTATATCCCTGTCCCCAATCTTCCTCCCACCATCCTGTTTCCTAATTCTTTTAAATCCTTGAGCAACCCCATTCTATCTTTAATCTTCTTGCTGTTGACCTGTTGAAGGAATCAACGAGGTAATTCATTAATATTTCCACACTCTGGATTATTCAGTGTTGTCGTTTAACTTTTATTTCTGTATTCTGTAAACTGAAAGTTAGCTTTAAAGATTTTTTTAGAGCTGGGAGTGGTGGCACACCTGTAATCCTGGAGGCTCTGGAGACAGAGGCAGGAGGATTTCGAGTTCAAAGCCAGCCTCAGCAAAAGTGAGGTGCTAAGCAACTCAGTGAGACCTTGTCTCTAAATAACATACAAAATAAGGATAGGGATGTGGCTCAGTGATCAAGTGCCCCTGAGATTAGTCCCCAGTACCAAACCAAACCAAACCAAAAAAACCTTTATTAGATTTAGATTAAATTTCTTTGGGGTAGAGAGACAAAGGAGTACTTTGTAGGTGGTGTGCTACTTCATATCACGTCACATCAGGAGTCACATAATGTGCAAATGTTTTACCTATTCCTAGCAGTGTTAACGTTGAATTTGTGGAATTCAGGTGGTTTCATCTTAATCCCTTCATAATAAGATGTTGATCAAGTGGTTCATTAAATGATGATATTCGGATTGTCGTTGCTCCTATATTTATTAGCTAGAATTCTTTAAAACAATTTTGTCTGATCAACTCGAGTTATTTGGTTATCATGAAATACAAGAAAGTAATATCGTGAAATACAAGGAAGACAGGATAAATGATTGATTTGTCCCCTTTCATTTGTCGTGTTCTGAGTAAGGAGTCAGTGCCCTACTTAGTTCCAGTAATGACCAAAAAGGATTGTTTTATATCACTATTGTAATTTGAGTATCATGAATGTAGATTATTTTTAGGTGACTTCAAGTGGGAAGTCTAGATTAACTATTTTATCGCTGAAGCAGAAGCCTTTTCTTCTAACTATACATCATCATTGTATTAATTTCATTCATGTCTTTTAGTTTAAATGAGAATGTAAACATAAATTTCTAATTTTTATTTTAGTTAGTTGTGATATTTCACAGTTCATGTTTTCATTGTTCATGCATATTTCTTTTTGGTACCAGGGATTTAACTGAGCAATGCTTAACCGCTGAACCATATCCCCAGCCCATTTTTAAATTTTTAATTTTGAGACACGGTCTAAGTTGTTTAGGACTTTATTAAGTTTCTGAGGCTAGCTTTGAACTTGCAATCCTTCTGCCTCAGCCTCCCAAGCCCCTGGAATTACAGGTACACCATGCCTGGCTGTATTTTTCCTTTTGATTAGTCATGTCTTGATGTACTCTTTTTCATTCTTGAATTTTTACCTTTTTGATTTATTAAGGCTTTTTATTTCTTATTGCAATTTCCCAGTCTAATTTATAATTTTTTAAAAAAATTTATTTTTTAGTTGTAGTTGGACACAATACCTTTATTTTACTTATTTTTATGTGGTGCCGAGGATCGAACCCAGGGCTTTGCAAATGCTAGGCGAGTGCTCTACCACTGAGCCTCAACCCCAGCCCCTCTAGTTTATAATTTGCTTTAAGGTTTTAAGATTATTTTTTTTGAAAGGGGATAGAATAGAATAGATGTAAAGTTTCACGCATCTTGCTTAGTTCCACTATTCTTACCTTAGTGTTCTGTCAAATTCTCTTCTATTTTCTTTCTGTTTTGTTTTTATATACTTAAATATTTTTATGAAATAAGTGTTATGTTAATGTTTTGCTTTAAATAAAATGATTACTTTTATAATGACATGAAATAACATGTCTTTGTCAGGGTGGGCCATACTAATGTTGTGTTCCTTTCAAAACATTCCACCTAATCACTAGTGTTACTAGGTGGCATATAGTTGAAGAAAAAGAACCTTGTTTAAAACAAAGAAGTAATTTATAATTTACATGGGTTTATGTTATATTAATTTTACAAAGGAAAATATTAAAATACTGAGTCATATTTTCTAGTAATTGTTGCAGGATTATAATATACTATCAGTATTCACATTCTTGCAAATTTGAATAATGTATTAATTTCTTTTCTGAAATAATTCATTTTATTTCTCTTATTTTAACTAGACACTTGGCATTTCACCTGAAGAAAAATTTGTTATTACAACAACAAGTAGGAAAGAAATTACCTGTGATAATTTTGGTGAGTAATGATGTTTTAAATTAAGCACTTGCTTTTAAATTTAATGTGTAATGATAGGGCAATAACTATTACACAAATATGTATTCAAAACTATTGATAGTTTGGTTATTTTTATGTGATGGAAGAGAAAAAATGGCTATTTGTGCATAGTTTACTCAGAAGTCATTTTTCAAGTCTGATTATAGAATAGTAGTTGCTATCAGGGCTACAGAAGATAAGACCTTTCTCAACACTTAGTACAGTTTGGACCTCAAGCTGACTTTTAGCTTCAACTTGAACTTATTTTGAATTCTTCCATTTTCTGTTTTTACCTATTCCATTTTCTGTTAAGTTTTTAGGACCTGCCAGTTTTTCATGCCTGATTTCCTTTTAAATATAACCATTCTTCTCCATTCATGTTAATACCACTCTAATGCAGAGCCTCATTTTGATTTTCTGTGATAGTTTAACTTATTATGAATTGAGTTTTCAGATGAGTTGAAATATTTTTACCTGTTCAATTGGTGTATCCTTAACAAAATAGCTGAATTTTTACATCGGTTCATTATTTGAGGGTTTTCCTGTACCATTGTTAATATATTACATAGATAAAATCAACATACTCAAAATTGTAAGTTCATTGAATTTTACAATGCTAACCTAGCACTTGAGATTTTAACTCTTGATTACAGATGAAACTGTTAAAGATGGAGTCACTCTGTACCTGTTACAGTCAGTCAATCAGTTACTACTAACAGCTACAAAAGAACGAATTGACTTCCTACCTCATTATGACACACTGGTTAAAAGTGGCATGTATGAATATTATGCAAGTGAAGGACAAAATCCTTTGCGTAAGTATCTCATTCATGGTAATTTTGATAAACTGTTACTCTCCTTTATTCCATGGTCCCATTTCTTCAAGTTTTATAAATCCTCTCATTTTAGAAGAGTCTGACCACTCATTTTGAGCTTGCTGTCTTAACTCCTTTTCTTCATAGCATACTTTTTTTTTTTTTAACCCAAGTCATCTTCAAAGTAAAAATAATCACCTTTAAAGCTTCTCTACTAGTGGAACTCATATTCCTTTTCAATACATGAGGAATCTTATTCCTTGTATCTTTTCATCTACTGTATGTTTTTCTCTCCTGATTTATTCTTCCTGGTCTCCTACAAACCTCTTGCAATTATGAAATCTCCTTGAATGAGTTGACTGTTTTCACTATCAACAGCACTTTTCTTCTCTTCTTTCCTTCTTACTCTGACTAGGTGTCTATCCCTGCCTAATTTTAGGATTAAATTTGGTCATTTTTAGTTAAATTTTGAAAATCTAGCATCAATTTTCAGTTATTTGTCATAGTTAAATCACTTTGTCAACCTTGATACACTTTCTTCACTTGGCTTTCAAGAGACCACACTGTATTACTTGGTGCTGGGATTGAACCCAGTCTCACATGCTAAGTATGTCCTCTACCCTAAGACCTTAGACCATGTTCTCTTAGTTATTTCTTACTCTGCCTGTCCTTTATTTTCTCTTCCCACATTCTTTTTTTTTTGTTGTTGATGTTCTTTTTAGATATACATGACAGGAGAATGTGTTTTTATGTACCATACATACATGGAATATGACTTATTCTAATTAGGATTCCATTCTTATGGTTGAACATGATGTGGAGTTATGCTGGTCGTATTCATATATTCATTCACTGTATTTAGTATTCTGTTCCCCCTCCCTTCCCTTCATTTCCCTTTGTCTTATTCAGTGACACCTCTCACCCCTATTGTATGTTAGCATCCACATATTAGAGAGAACTTTTGGCCTTATGGCTGAGTAATATTCCATTGTGTATATATACCACATTGTCTTTTTTAAAAAATATTTATTTTTTTGTAGTTGTACACAATAACTTTTATTTATTTGTTTTTATGTGGTGCTGAGGATCAAACCCAGGACCTTGCATGTGTGAGGCGAGCACTCTACCGCTGAGCCATAACCCCAGCCCTACCACATTGTCTTTATCCATTCATCTGTTGGGCATCTAGGTTGGTTCTTTCCCCATGTTTTCTTTTTTTTTTTTTTTCCAGTTGTAGATGTACACAATGACTTTATTTATTTCTCTTTATATGGTGCTGAGGATCAAACCCAGGGCCTCACATATGCTAGGTACTGTACCCCTGAGCCACAACCCCAACCCTTTCTCCACATTCTTAAGGTTGAATTGTCTCAGGGTTTGGTACTTGGCCTTTTATCTTCTTTCTTCTTTATTTGGTAATTCAATTCCATACCTTTAAATACCATCTTATAGAAGTGACTTTCAAATTGAGGTGGGAAAAAATGGCCATTTTTAGTTAAATATTGAAAATAGTATTAGAGTTCTTTCCTGAATTCTATTTTGATCCATATAGCTGCTTGCTTGGCACCACCACTAAGATGTCTGAAGTGTGATCCCTGAATCCTGTTTGACAAATAATCAGTCATCGCTCATTCTTTCCAGTTGCTCAGACCAAAAATCATTTTTCACCACTTCTATTAATGCTACCTGGTCTGAGGTACCATCAAATCACCCTACTTGCACAGTGATCTCTTAGTTGGTCACTTTCTCTTTTCATCCCTGTCCATGGAAGATTTGAGAAGTCAGGTTGTGTCATTCTGCTGAAAACAACTCAAGATTCCTCATTTCGCTAAGAGTAAAAGCCAGAGTCTTTATAAACTACTAGGGTGTAGTAGCTTTGCTTTCTACTACTTTTCCCCCTTGTTTATTCATTCCACTCCATTGTCATCCATCTTTTCAAATGGTGCCCTCTGTCTGGAATGCTCTTGTCCTAGATAAACCTAGGATTTGTTTCTTCACCTCATTCAAGTATTGTTTATCTGTTACCTTTTCAGAACTTATTTGATCACTATATTATTTAGTCCCTTCACTCTACTATGGGTCTTTTAACCATAGCACATACCACCTTCTACCAAGCTATAGAATTTACTTTATTGTGATTACATTTTACTTTCTGTCTTCCTCCAGTAGAATGTTGAGTTCTTAAGAACAAGAATTGGTTTTGTATAGTTCTTAGAATAATGTGTGGCACATGGTATGTGTTTATTTGAATATTAAGTCAATCTTTAGTTATTTCCCTGAGGATAAAATTCTGAATAAGACTTTTGATTTTTTTTCCTACCATCATTATGTGAATAAATAGTGTTTAAACTCTTTCTTTGATTTCTGTGACTTTATAATATTTCCCTGGATTGTTTCCTCCCTGTTTTCTTGCTTCTGGTTCTTCTTGGTGTAGTAGTTGATTTTCAAGTCATACTGATATTTTCTTAGAAAAATGATCCAATGTTTAGCTATTATATCTATGCCAATGAAGCAAAAAGTTTTCACTCTCAGTTAAGCCCAGTATCAGCTCCCTATTTAATACCACTATTCATTAAACTTTATGTAGTTGCATAGTATTATATCTAAAATTGATTTTTTTCTTTCCTCCTCTTTAAATATTCCCTTATGGGAAATATGACCTTTCCTTTCTTTTTTTTTTTTTTGGGGGGGACAGAAATTCAAAGTTGTCTTAGATTTATTTCCCTATCTCTCTCTCTCTCTTTTCTTTTTTTGGGAAGGGATATTGGGGATTTAACCTAAGGGTGCTTTACCACTGAGCTACCACCCCCAGTGCTTTGTATATTATTATTATTATTATTAATTTATTTTTGTGGTGTTAGAGATTGAACCTTAAGGGCCTCAGGCGTGCCAGGGAAGCATTCTACCACTGAACCACATCTCCAACCTTTATTTTGAGACAAGGTCTGGCTAAGTTGCTGAAGCTGGCCTCAAATTTATGATCCTCCTGAGTTGCTGGGATTATAAGCATGCACCACTGAGCTTGGCATCCTCTCCTTTTTTAATCACATACTAAGTTCTATGAATTTCTCCTCTTTCTCTTCTCCCCACCTTCCCAAGGGCACTCTGCCTCTGAGATATGTCCCCAACCCTTTTTTAAGAGTCTTTCTAAATTGCTGAAGCTGGCTTTGAATTTACAGTCCTCTTTCATTGGGCTGGGATTACAGGCATGCACCACCATGCCTAGCTGAATTTCTTCTTTTTATTCTTTTTTCCCATTTACTATAATGTTCTATCTTCATTTTCTAGAGTTATTACCCTTAGCCAGATTCTTATATATATTATCTGAATCATGGTAACTTTTTGTAGTTTGTGAACATTGCTGTCTTTTTAAGTGTTTAGAGTGAGTGGAAGTGCTTGCTGGAGTGTGACTGTATTGGTTAATTACAGTTCTGTTTGGGTTACACTTCTGTGAAATTAAGACATAAATTTGGTATGTTCCTTTTCTTTCTAATTAAAAGAATAAAGTAGGAAATAATTTGAGTAGTGGCCCTGAAAAAATATAAATAAATTAATGCTGAGCCAATGATAAACTCAATGTCAAGTTAGTGTTGTTATAGAGAATCAATAGTAGTGTTCTGTCAGTTTTGAAGATGTGTTCTGCCATTTGACAAGTTCTGATAGTCTTTAGATTTCTATATTCAAAATAGTTGAATAGTTAAGAGATACTTTTATACAATTGCTTTATATTTGCTTCTATATCTCTGTTCCTACTTTTGACTTGCGCATGATATAATGACGTACACCAGATTTCTATTTGCTTTTATGGTATGGTCTTCTGTTTGTCTCTTAAGTCTATATGTCTGTCTTTTTATTATAAACTCCTTGAACCAGGAGTTGTGGCTGGCTGACTTGTGCCGTATAGTGCCATACAAGTACTGGTTGATGACTGCTTTTTTATGCTGGTAGTGATTGGCGATGATGCCTTTTATTATGTATTTTATCATTAGGATCGGGAAAATACTTTAATTCTAGCTCTTTGGAAAATAAGTGATGACTTTAAGGTACTTCAGAGTTTCTTCTGCTTTAAACTTTTATGCAAAGAATTTTAGGGAAAAATTAAGCAATAGTTTTTTCTTTTTTCAGCATTTGCTCTTGCGGAATTAATCGACAATTCATTGTCTGCTACTTCTCGTAATGTTGGTATTAGAAGAATACAGATCAAATTGGTAAGAAAATAATACTTAAAGAAATTTAGTATTTCTTTTGATAAAAGTGTAGTATAAGTTGATTGGAGAAAATTAGAAAACAGAAATTAAACTATAGTAGAAGTAATTATCTGATGTCTCTTTATCCACTTAAAATTTCTTCTTGGATCGTTTATTCTGTACTTACGTGTATACTTGCATGTAACATTTTGTTTTTGTAATCTTCTACTCTCCCTTAATAGTACATTGTACATATGAGTATTGTGATATATAATATTCCATTACTCCACAATGATTTATTGACTGTAATGAAAATAGCATAATAAGGCTTCTATTGCTTTATAGATTTTTTTCCTATATTTTTGCTGTTAGAAGTAATGCCGAAATGATGCACATTCTTATACATCTTTGTACATGTCTCTGATTATTTTCTGAAGTTAAAATCTGAGAAATACTGTTTCTGGGTTAAAAGTCATGAAGAATTCTAAGGATTTTAATAGATATAGCCAAAGTGCCTTTCAGAAAATTATATTACTTTACACTTTGATGAGCAATGTATGAGTGAACATGTTGAATGAATCACCTTTGATGTTTTAAATATTGATTTGATTTTTCCTGTCTTCTTGAACTTATTTTGTTTCATAGCTTTTTGATGAGACACAAGGAAAACCTGCTGTTGCAGTAATAGATAATGGAAGAGGAATGACTTCTAAACAGCTTAACAACTGGGCTGTGTATAGGTTGTCAAAATTTACACGGCAAGGTGACTTTGAAAGGTTAGAAAATCTTACTTTTTTTTTTTTTTTTACAGGTAGTTATATGTTTTAATAGTAAGTACTCATATGCTTTTGTATGCACATGATGAAAAGGTTTTGATGTTATCAATATATTTACTTTTTTTAAATAGAATTTTTGTGATCAATAATCAGAAATAGAACAATATTAACATTTTACCTTTTCATTTAACAGTTCCTTTTGTGTTTCTTGTGGTATGTAGGAGTTCTGTTGTATACTTTAAAGCTTTACACCTTTCATTACTAACTTAAATATGATAAAAGCCTTCAGAGGAGTAGAAATGTTTCAAAATCGGCTTTAGGAATTACTTTATATCACTTGCAAAATTCCTAAAATTGCATGTGGTTCTGTGGAACTCATTATTGCTCTAATTTCAGGTTTCTGTGTAAAAAGTATTCACAGAACTGGCTGTGGTAGTGCATACACTCTGCCAATTTTACTTAGTGAATTTGTACTAGTACATTTAATGGGATTATTGATCTCCTAGAACTTAGGTTTATCATGTTATAATACATTTGTTTGTTCTTTTTTTTTAAGAAAAAAATTTTTTTTAGCTGTAAATGGACACAATACCTGTATTTTATTTATTTATTTTTATGTGGTGCTGAGAATCGAACCAGTGCCTCACACATGCAAGCAAGAGTCTACCACTGAGCTACAACTCCTGCCCCATTTCTTTTGTTTCTTATTTCTCTTTTCTGAATTTTGTTATTGTGTACAACTACAAAAAAATAAATATTTTTAAAAAAAGACAATGTGGTATATATACACAATGGAATATTACTCAGCCATAAGGCCAAAAGTTCTCTCTAATATGTGGATGCTAACATGTATCTGAATGGGCAGTTCCTGTGACTTTCTTCCTTTTTTGTATTCTCAAACAGGGTTATATGAAGTTCAGTTCTTGATGAACTGCTTGTAACAGTTGTTCTTATGAACCAACCTGATGGGTGGTTCAGATTTCCCTCTGAGAAACAAAACTGCTGACCACCTACAGTAGGATATTATAAGGAGAAGTCCTTTTCTCATCCTTCAGGTTATGTATAATGTCTCCTTTCAAGACTCTTATCATTCTTGTTTCTTCAAAAGGCTTAACTTTGAGGTGAAATAAAGGAGACTGACATCAAGAAATGAAAATTTAATTCAAATATGAAGAAAACTAGATTGTATACCATACACCTGCAGAGCATCTCTGTATTACTGCTGCAGTACAGTTTATAGCACTGCTACAGTTAGTAGATAAATATTGGCAGCTTGAGTGAGTTCATCTCTCCCCCCTCTCAAAGGGCACCAAATAAATACTGGGTAAGAGTAGCTTGCTAGGAAAGTTGAAATAACAAGTTAACCAATTTTGTCTCTGTGATAATCCAGTGCCAGCAGGAGGCAAGTACTGAAGAAGAGAAGGGACAGCTTTTATACTAAAAAAGAATTCCTCTGATCATGTTACCATCTCTTATAAAGAATTCAGGGAATTCAACAAGTAGAAAATTACATTATAGCCATTTTAAAGTAAATAATTTAGTGGTATTAATGACATTTGTAGTGCTTTGGAACCATTGCTATTATACATTCTTAGAAGTTTTTCATACTCCACCCCCAAATTTAAAAAACAATGTTCTGGGGATGAGCCCAGGATCTCAAACATGCTAGGCAAGTACTCTTCCATTGACCTATATCCCCATCTTTTTTATTTTATTTTGAGACAGGGTCTTTCTAAGGTTGCTCAGGCTGGCCTTAAACGTGTGTGTGTGTGTGTGTGTGTGTGTGTGTGTGTGTGGTGTATTTTTAGCAGGGATTGAACCCAGAAGCACTTAACCACATCCCCAGCCCATTTTTTTCATTTTTATTTTGATACGGGGTTTTGCTGAGTTGTACAAGCTGGCTTTGGACTTGAGATCCACTCCTGAGCTGCTGGGATTATAGCAATGCACCAGCCATCATGACCAATTTGAAAATATCATACTCACTAACTCGCCATTCTCTGTATTCTCAGCCCCTGGTGGCTACTATTCTATTCTCTGTCTAAATGAATTTCCCTGTTCTAGGTACCTCATTTATGTGGAATCATACAGTATCTTTTTGTGTGACTTATTTCACTTAGCATAATAATTTTTTCAAGGTTCATCTGTGTTGTAGCATGAATCAGAATTCTATTCCTGTTTATGGCTGAATAATTCCATTCTATAGCCATACCACATATTTTTATCCATTCATTAGTTAATGGACACAGGGTTATTTCTAGCTTTTTGTCTAACATTTCTAAGAACATTTGTATACAAGTGTCTATTTCAGTCCCAGGTAAGTTTATATGAACACCAGATATTCATGGTGTATTTCTTCCTGTAAGTCTATCCATTATTGTTTTCCTCCCAGAAGATATTTTTTATAACTTGGATCTGCTCTTGATTTTTTTCTATGTATGATAAAGGGTGAGGATTCCCTTCCCACTCACACCTAAAATAAATAAAATACATATTAAAGGGTATTTTTGCTGAGAATGGCATTTTAGGTTGACTCCTCTTCCACATTAGGTACCTGGGATTGTAACCCAGGGGCACTTAACTCTACTGAGTCATATCCCCAGCCCTTTTTTATATTTCATGTAGAGACAGGGTCTCACTAATTTGCTTAGGGCCTTGCTAAATTTCTGAGGCTGGCTTTGACCTTGAGACCCTCCTGCCTCAGCCCCCAGGCCTCTGGGATTACAGGCATGTGCTATCATGCTCAACCTGTGGGTTGACTTCTTAAGAAATTTTTGGTACATTAAATATTAGTTTTTCTACTGATTTGCATGGTTTATGATGAGAAATCTGATGTTATTCCTACCTTTGTATCTTAATATATATTGTCTCTGACTCAAAAAAAGTTTTCTTTTTATCATTGGTAAGGATGTGTGTTGTATAGGGTCAGGGTGTGCATTTCTTTGAGAAGAGGTATGTGAACATACGGTTGGAAATACATGCTTGTGGAGAGGCATTTTGAGAATGTTGTGCAGGAATGGTATGTGTGTGTTGTGTGTGAGCAGATTTGTGTCTCTTAGATAGGGATGGGTTTGTGTGTAGGTGTGTTGTGCAATTTTATATTTATGTATGTGAAGTATTAATATATCTTAGCTAGTCAATATTGGCTTTGTTTATTTAGAATATTAACATATGGAGTTGGGACTTTTTATGCCAGTTAAAACATTTTTATTCCTATTTTCTGTTTTCGTTTTTGTCTTCTGTTTTCTATTTTTGTTTATGTACCACCGAGCTACATCCCTAGCCCTTTTTTAAACAAAATAATCTAGTTAGTTAATATTTTCTTAAGTTGTTGATGGACCTTTATTTTTTATTTATTTGTATGTGGCACTGAGGATCAAACCCAGTACTTCATGCATGCTAGGCAAGCTCTCAGCCCCTGAGCTACACCCAGCCCCTAATTTATTTTTTGAGATAGGATTTTGTTAAGTTCCTGAGGCTGGCCTAAAACTTTGGATCCTCTTGCTTCAGCTTCCCAAGTAGCTGGAATTCCAGGCATATACTGCCATACCTGGCTTCTTTTTAAAATTTATCTTTTTTTTTCTTGTTACTCCTTTTTAAAAACATTTTATAATTTATGAATTTCTGATTGTCTTTGAAATTTTATAATGCATAATTTTAGATATTCTCTCCAAATTAAGGACTTTAGGACCCTTTACCTCTGATACTTCCCTTCCCCCAAATCATACTTTGATTATTGAAAATATTCCAGTTTGACTTTAGAAATCCCACAATTTATATTCCATTTTTTCCTAACCACACTATTTTAAATATCTCACACATATTACTTTCAAAAAATTAACTTTGTATTTACCATATTATATTAATCTTTTTTTACATGTCAGATTGTACTTGGAGGTTCATTCCTTTAGAGCAAATTTCTTGGGGTATTATCTCCAGTTCACAATTCTAGCTTGACAAATCTTTTTCTTTGGACCCTGTGTGGATTGTATTTCACTATCTTTGACTATTGCTGTCAAAGCCTAATAAGTGGTATTATCTTAACTGCTTGAACTCAGTCTATTTTCTAGTTCTTCCTTTTGGTGTTAACAAAGAGGTAGACTTCTTTCTTTCTTTCTTTTTTTGTAGTTATAAAGCATGTCTTTATTTTATTTATTTTTTAAACTTGGTGCTGAGGATCAAACCCAGTGCCTCACATGTGCTAGGCAATAGCCACTGAGCTACAGCCCCAGTCCCTAGATTTCTTTTTACTCATCCTTTTTTGGGGCTCTATTGGTTTTCACAGATCTGTGGAGCCAGGGCTTTGAGAATATTTGTTCTATCCCTCATAATTGATTTGAGAATATTTGTAGGTATTATCCATTCTCTGTCTTGTCTTTTTCTAGGAATACATTTAAAGTTGGTTGATTTTCTTTGATTATATCTTCCTGTTCTTTGATTTTTCTCCAGCTATGTCATATGTGGTTTTTAATCTTTTTATTTTTTTTGGTGGTGGTGGGGGAACCAGAGATTGAACTCTTGACCACTGAGCCACATCCCCAGCCCAATTTTGTATTTTATTTAGGGACACGGGTCTAACTGAATTGCTTAGTGCCTTGCTGTTGCCTGAGGCTGGCTTTGAACTTGAGATTCTCCTGCCTCAGCCTTCAGAGCCACTGGGATTACAGGCATGCGCCACCACGCCCTGCAATTTTTAACCTTTTTCATTGAGTGTAACAGTGGTTCCATCCTCACCCCTAATTGTTTATTTCTGATATTGGGAAGTGTTATCCCTGGTGATCTTCCCTGTATTTGAAAGACCAGTGATGCCCCTTCTCCAGGGTGCTGTTATTCTACATTGGGAGTTTTCCTTAGCTCATCACTTGCCATGCTACATGTAAATGGAAGTATTTTAACAAGTTTTGAAGTGGCAAACAACATTTTGAAGTGAAGGTCCTAGAGGCATAAAAATATGTAAGGAATTATTTAGTTCTGTTTGCTGAGAGATTTGGAGGCCAAAATTGCTATACAATTTCTTTAGGCACTTAAGTAGATTGTTTAAAGTCACTGCATTGATGTACTGTTTTATTTTAGTGATCATTCAGGGTATGTTCGTCCAGTACCTGTGCCACGGAGTTTAAATAGTGATATTTCCTATTTTGGTGTTGGGGGCAAGCAGGCTGTTTTCTTTGTTGGACAATCAGCCAGAGTAAGTAGAAACATATCCTTTTACTTAAATTATTTTGAAGTTGACCTGTATAATTATTAGTAATTTTTAAAGTCCTCTTTTAATATTTGACAGATGATAAGTAAACCTGCAGAGTCCCAAGATGTTCATGAGCTTGTACTTTCTAAAGAAGATTTTGAGAAGAAGGAAAAAAATAAGGAGGCAATATATAGTGGATATATTAGAAACAGAAAGGTACAATACACTTAATTCATAACTGTAAATGTATTCCTTTGGACAGACGATAGGACTGAACTTTTTTCTAATTTATTGCTAAGTTGCCAACGTTGTTTTAAAAGTTTGAAGATACGATAATTTTCAAATGAGCTACGTAGTTTTTCATTTTTTCTTTAATCATGTTAGTGGCAAAAATAATTGTTTTTGTGCTTCCTTATAGTAAAACTCTTCCTGTAATAAATTATATTATAAAGCCTAGTAAGCTTTCTGTAAATTGCTTGTAAGAAATGTAAACTTTTTTACTTGGTGTGAATTTGGGTTTTAAAGTCTTTGTTAAAAACTGACCATGGAAATGATGTAAAGAAACTGTGATATGTTAGTTGACTTTCAGAAAATCAGAGCTCCAGAGAAACAAATGAAATTCTGTTGCAAGTTTATATTTAAATTGTCTTTTTAATATGACAAATATTTAACAAATTTGGATCTTGGAGGTGAGTACATAGAATTTATTGAATATTCAACTTTTCTTTTTGAAACATTTTATAATTTTTCATCTTAGAATCTTTATTTTAAAGTAATTTTGAGCATTTTAAAACTTGTTTTCTGGGCTGGAGGTGTGGCTTGGTGATAGAGTACTTGCCTACCATATATGAGGTCCTGGATTCAATCCTCAGTACCTAAAAGAAAAAAAAAATTATTCCAAAATAAATCAGAAAATTTAACAGGAAAGAAAATGAGAATATTGCCAAATGTCATATAATATTTTGGTGACCCCCCCTCCCAGTGTCTTTTTTTTTGGTGATACTAGAGATTGAACGTAGGGCCTAGCACATGCTAGGTAAGCACTGTACCACTGAGCTACATTCCTAGCCCTTTATTTTATTTTGAAATAGGGTCTCACTGGATTGCCCAGATTGGCCTCAAACTTGCAATTCTCCTGCCTCAGTCTCTGGAGTTGATGGCATTATAAGCATACATCACTAGGCTTGGCCCAATTCTGTTTTTAAAAATATATAACTTATAGCTTTGATTCTACATTTCTTTTTTTTTTTTAAGATGTTGATGAACCTGAGAATTGAACTCAGTAACTCACATATGCGAGGCAAGTGCTTTACAGCTGAGCCACAACCTCAGCCCTGATTTAGATTTCTTATATTAACATTTAGAGTATTACCCTATTTTATAAAATGTGCAATATATTTTTAATTGCGCCACAATATTTCTTATTTGTAGAATTGTACTATAATTAGAAAGATACTGCCATGAAATCTTAATATTTTGTTAGAATTTTAATAGTTGACAATATATTTAAACTTTTAAAATGTCCTTGGTATGTGTTCAAGATTAAACACAAAAATCACATAAGCTTCAAGCAGTTGTGTATGAAGGACCTATCTGCTCAGTTCCTTATTTTTAGGAAAAAAGGAGAAAAGGCAATAAAATGTTGGCAATTTGATAGATATAAATATTGCCTTTTCTTTTATTACTGCTAGGTTGAATTTATTTTTATGTTTTTTAGCTACTTTTACTTTTTCTATAATTTAACATTCCTCTGCTCAGGAAATTACTTTCATATATTTCACTTTATAAAAAATTTGTATGTATTTAACAAATTACATATTTTGTAATATATTTGCCAAATTACATATTTTGTAATATATTTGCCTAACAGACTTCTATGTCTTCTATCTTACCATCAAAAAGCCTTATTTAATATATTGGTGGAAATATTAATTGCCATGTTAAAACTAGTTAAAAGGGCTGGGGTTGTGGCTCAGTGGTAGAGCGCTTGCCTAGCATGTGTGAGGCCCTGGATTCGATTTTCAGCACCACTTATAAATAAAATAAAAGTTTATTGACAATTAAAAAAAATGTTAAAAAAAAAGCTTAGGCATTAAAAAAAAAAACTAGTTAAAAAACAAATTGAGAATGTAAGTGTATATTATGAAGCTTGAATAGGGCTGGGTCTCATGGATCATCTTTTCTTTGCCAGCTAAGTGCATCCCAACAGGCATTTAACAGGTAGCAATTGGTACTTGTTCTTTTCTTTTACTGAGCAGTTTTTTCTAGACTAATTTTTTTGAACTTCTATCTCTGACCGTTTAGCCATTTCCAGAATGTGGGTGAAGTTGGTGGTACTCTTTTCTTTCCTTTTTCTTTTTCTTTTCCTTTCTTTTTTTGGGTACTGGGGATTGAAACCAGGGATACTTTATCAGTGAGTTACATCCCCAGTCCTTTTTGAAATTGTTTCATTTTGGGACAGGGTCTCATTAAGTTGCTAATCCTGGCCTCAAACTTGTGATTCTTCTCCCTCAGCCTCCTAACTATCTAGGATTGTGGGCAGCCACCCTCATGCCCAATGAGCTGGTCGATCTTCCATCTGTAATTAGCAGTCTTGGCATATACAAATGTATGTGCCACTTAGATACCAACAATTCTCCAATCTGTTTTTTTTTGTCAAGACTTTTCTGTTAGGATTATGATATTGAATCAGGCTGAGTTCAAACCATCTGATACTTTAAACAGTAAAGGATTTAATTATTTAGATACTTACATGAGTATCAGAAAGGCCAAAGGAATAATCAGCTGAACCTCCTAGAGTGATGCCAGGACATTCTGAACTGGCCTTGGAGGGATGCTGTATCTTCTGTAATTTTGAAGTAGGAAGACCTCTGTTGGGTACCAAAGAGTTGGAAAGATCTCATTTCCACAGTTGCTCCAACTGAAATACAAAATTTCTGGTTATAACCAGTGTTTTAGTGGCCTTTGGATACTTTGAAGTTGAAATCTGGTTACTGGTCCTTCAGGGTATGATAATAGAAAACCTTTAAGATATTTCTAGAAATGGCTTCAGTCTTAATTTTGCTAATACATCTAATTGTTGAAAACACATTTGCATGCTCAACCCAAATAGCTGGGGAATAATACTTTTTTGGTTTTCCAAACTTTGTAGCCCCAAAAAGGCACAATAAAAGATGGTAGGAATGAATATAGCTGATTACATCCAGTACATCCATTTCCAGTTTCATGTAGATGTCCTTCCCAGGTGTTCCACAAGTAACTCACTTTTGGTACAACCAGGTATGGTTGCATATACTGGTAATCCCAGGAACTAAGGTATCTGTCGTGGGAGGATTACAAATTCCAGGCTAGCTTCAGCAATTTAGCATGACCCTAAATGTCTTAAAATAAAAACTTACCAAAAAAAGGGTGGAGTGGGGATTGACACTGGGTTCATTCCCCAGTAATGCAAAAAAAAAAAATAAAAATAAACACACACACACACACAGTCTTTAAACCTTTCTTTCTACCTGGTTCTTCCCAACTACCCTTTTTAATTATTGACTTCACAGTTAGAACTGACAATCTATGTTGCTAGGCATTCACCACATTTAATTCTGTTTTTAAGAATTGTTCCTTTTATCTGCCCTCTTTTTTTCCTTCACCCATTTTCAACTGCTCTAATTCAGTCTTTCTACTTTCATCATTTATTTACCATATACTCTAAACTACCTTGATTTCCTTAAACTCTCAAATGTCTGAAATATTCCTATTCTGTCAACTTCTAAATGAATGTTGTCTTCTTTTTTTCTGTATGGTCCTTGATTTATATCTTTAGTGGTGTGTTATTTTGTTTATTTTTTTCCCCATTTCTTATCAAGTAGAATTTTATAAAGAGCAAGGACTCTAGTATTTTTCTTGAATATCTTATCTTTCTTGGGCCCAATTTGAAGCATAGGATTTGACATTTGATAGCTTTTTCCTCCCTATTGCTAGGGATTAAACCCAGGACATCACACATGCTAGGCAAGCACTCTACCCATGAGCTGTGTCCTCAGCCCTTGATAAATATTTGGATATAAACTTGCATCATTAGTAAAATCAAACCTGCTGTTAGTATGTATAATTTATAATATTAGTAATTTAATGTATAGATACTTAAGAATGTTTTTTGAAGTACCTTTTTTTTTTTTAAAGTAATACATGATTGATTTCCTGGTGGTTTAGTGTTTATCTTTACAGTTTTTATATACATGGCAATATACACAGTATATTGAAGCATATTTATACACAAATATTCATGTAATTTTTCACACATAGACTGTTATGTTAGAAGTTTATAATTCTTGTCCTTAAATCTCTCCCACCTACCATCTGTAAGCTCTTGATATTTCTCTAAAAGTGGACTGGTGCCCAGGATAATTTTACTCCCTTTTAAACACAGTGTGTTTGTGTTAAATCAACTGAGTCCAGATTGTACCCTAGTTACATTAGACGTGGAAGGCATTGGTCCTAAGTAGTAGGTATCCGATTAAGGACTTATTCCATCGTATAGTAAGTGTCCTCCATTTTTTAAAGTATTTGTCTTCACCTTTTCCTTTAGGATCCTAAAATTAGTTTAGCTTTATGAGATAGAGCATTCTTTATGTATGCTAATTTAATTGTCTGTGTGAAAGTTCTCCTGTCTTTACAGTGTTGTCACACATTCACCTCATTTGTTGTATTGGGCCAATTTTCTCCAAAAGTTTTCCTGAAGATTGTTTATGAAACCTATCCAAGTGGGTCACATTAAAATTTGATGGTGTAGTTTCATGTATAATTATAATTCAGATGCTTTAATCTGTTGTATTTGTGTTCACTCTTACAGCCATCTGATTCAGTTCATATTACAAATGATGATGAAAGATTTCTACATAATCTTATCATAGAGGAGAAAGAAAAAGATAGCTTTACTGCTGTGGTTATCACAGGGGTACAACCTGAACACATACAGTACTTGAAAAATTATTTCCATCTTTGGACACGACAGTTAGCGTAAGTAATTATATTTGGATCAAAAAATGTTGCTACTTATCTTTTTTAAGATAGAAAATATTACAGATATCTTAAAATCTATTTGATATTCCTTTTGTACAATTTCCTTCCCTTCAGAATAGTGTCAATATCCTAACATTGCTGTTAAAATGGTTTGCCATTCATTCTGTAAATTTTATTTATAGATCACCTGAAGTTTACTGAGTATTAATTGAGGCACAGGATTTTTGGAACCTATTATAAAATTTAAAATGAACTTCTCTCCACATGTCCCCCTTTTGTGCCTCTTTTTCAAAGTAACTACATATTTTTTCCATGTCTCATATTTTATTTATTTTTTGTCTGATTTCCCCATTGAAATATCTTTCAGTACTGTATTCTCACTGCCTGGAAGTATAGCAGCTACATAATAAAAGCTCAGTAAATGTTTAACAAATGAATGTATCAATAAAAAAAAATTCTGTATCCCTATATGACATATTAGTAGTTCTGAAAATAAGTCATTATGTGTTTAACCCAGTAAAACTTCTGGGTTTTACATATATATATCCTATTAGACCAAATGCAAGGAACATTTATTTAATAGCTATAAGCTTTTTTTTTTTAATAATATATGGTATATACTATTTAGTGGATTGTTTTCATAATTCACATTAGGTTGAATTGTTTAGTCTTGTTAAAATGGCTGCATCTGCACAAAATTTATATTTAAAAAAAGAAAAAATAACTTCCCAGGTCAGATGCAGTGGCACATGCTTGTAATCCTGGCTATTCCGGAAGCTGAGGTAGAAAGATTGCAAGTTTAAGGCCAGCCGTGGCAATTTAGCAAGACCCTTTCTCAAAACATAAATTTAAAAAGACCTGGGGATATAGCTCAGTAGTAGATTAGCCCATATTTTCAATTCTCAGTACAAACAAAAACTTCTCACATTTACCCCAAATGCTGTTATACTTAAGAGTTTCTCTATTAAGTGTATATTAACAGACTTTAAAAGTTTTTTGTCTTTTATGGGAAAACAAATTTAGCTTTTAGGAATACCTTTTTTCTTGAGTATTATTGTTTATTGCCTGAGATTTTATGTAAGAACTTTGGATTTTTCTTCTCTATAGATTATATTAGCTATTTTTAAAAACTATTTACTTTTAGTTGTAGTTGGACACAATATTTATTTATTTGTTTATTTTTATGTGGTGCTGAGGATCGAACCCAGGGCCCTGCACATGCTACGTGAGCGCTCTATGGCTGAGCTACAACCCCAGCCCTATGTTAGCTATTTTATAATTAGAGCTTCTACAGAAGGAACTTGGTGTGCATAACATATAAGTAAAATATGTTCTTTTTAAAAAATTTTTATTTCAATTTTTTAGTTGTTGATAGAACTTTATTTTTAAAATTTTTATATGGTGCTAAGAATTGAACCCAATGCCTCATACATGTTAGGCAAGTGCGCTACCGCTCAGCCCCAGCCCCAGCCCCCAAATATATTCTTATTCTAACAACAATAACAACAACAACAAAAAAAAAAAACACATAATTTTAGCCATTCCAAAATAAATAATTGTTAAAGTATGGTGATAAATATGGTGATTCCTTTTGTTTGATTTCCTTCTCTTCAGAATAGTGTCAGTATTAACACTTATTATTGACAACAACTTATTGTTGATAAGTTAACTTATTTAATGTTATTTCACGTATTTATTACTGTTAACTTATGCATTAACACTTAGAGATGTCTGAAGAAAAATAGAAGATTTCTTTTGTGTGTGTGATACTGGGTATCGAATCTAAGGTTTTCTTTTTGAGAGAGTCTCGCTAAATTGGTTATAACCTCACTAAGTTACTAAGGCTGGCTTTGAACTTGAGATCCTTCTGTCTCAGCCTCCTAACTAGTTGCTGGGATTACAAGTAAGCACCACTGCACCTGGTTATCCCCATCCTTTTTTATTTTCAGACTGAGTTTTGCTAAATTGCCCACACTGGCCTCAAACTTAGCACCCTTGTTCCTCAGCCTCCTGAGTAGCTGGGATTAATAGATATGTGCCCACCAGACCTGGCATTTAGTGATTTTGTTTACTTCAGTGATATTTTGAAGAGTAACTAGGATAAAATTTTAATTAAAATTTGTATGGAAGAGTTTTTGTATGAAGGAGTTTTGCAGGTTTCTGTTTTAGGAATAGACACATGATGTTTTATAGTTTCGAACAATTCACTGAAATGTAATATATTAACTTTCCTTAAAAATAAGGTAGAAGGCTAGGGATGTAGTTCAGTGGTAGAGTGCTTAGGCAGCTTGCATAAAGCCCTGGATTTGGATCCCCAGTACCAAAAAAAAAAAAAAAAAGTAGCAAAGATTTTTGCAGTGGTGGTAGCTTTCAGTGGGATGATGTTGAATTTTTAGTTTTGTTTTTACAATGTTGAGGTAGGATTATCTCAGTGCCATAAAATACTTCTAGATTGATATTCTCTTTCTTAGATTGTTATTTAATGATAAAACAATTCATGGTACTCCCTGATATTTGAGTACATTATAGAACATCCCTGACAAGTAGAATGATAGACCCTTGCTTTTTGATAAACTACTTCTGGGAAGTACAATGTATGAGGATTTTGAAGTTTGTAAAGGCTTGAATTAAAACCCACCTCTCCCTAATTCTAGTCCTTAGATAAGTTATATTTATGGTTTGCTTCCCAGGTTTTGTATCTGTAAAATGAGATGTAATAATAACTGTATTTCAGAATTGTTTTTACCATTGGGAAACTGTGTTAAAAAATGCTAGAGTTTGGCTTGGCTAGGGATATGGCTCAATGGTAGAGCCCTTATCATATATGAAGCCCTGAGTTTGATCCCCAGTACCAGAAAGAGGGGGGGAAAAAAGTTTAATATAGTGATTGACACCTACTAGTTAGTAGCTATAAAATTTTTTGGTAGAAGATTAAGGACTATAATTTTATGAAAATTAAACTTATTCTTTTTGTTTCAGGCATATTTATCATTACTATATTCATGGCCCAAAAGGTAATGAAATACGTACATCAAAAGAAGTTGGACCTTTCAACAATATTGACATTGAAGTAAGATAAAAATCATCATATTACTGTCATTAAAATATTACTATTATTATTAGGTACCTGTTCCAGTCCCAAATGACTATGGATAACAAAAATTAGTAATTAGACAACTTCTTTTACAAAAGTAATTTGATTATTTGATGTTCAAATAAAGAGATATTCTTAGATTTGTTTTCATTAAACCTTTCTTTGTTGTAGTATCTGGGTTCTCTTTTTCCTCTCTTCTATAGACACCCAAAGTATTGCTATTCGTCATGCTTTTTTTTTTATTTTGTCTTTTGGGCTCTGGGGATTGAACTCAGAGGCAATTGACCACTGAGCCACATTCCTAGCCCTATTTTGTATTTTATTTAGAGACAAGGTCTCACTGAGTTGCGTAGCACCTCTCTTATGCTGAGGCTGGCTTTGAACTTTCGATCCTCCTGCCTCAGCCTCCTGAGCTGCTGGTGTTACAAGCGAGCACCACCACGCCTTGCTGTTCATCATATTTTGAAGCAGGGAGAAAAGGGGGTATATATAACATGATTTGCTTTTTGTTCCGTTAAGTCTTGTGACAAGATTTAGAAGAATCTTGAGTGTTGGGTTGTCAATATATTTGCCACACAATAGAAAGAATTTGAAGTATAAATTTATCCTACTTTCTACCTTTAGCAAGAAACCTTGAATTAAATGTATTCATGGCCTATCTTTCCTTTGACTATGATTTGCTGGTTCTTTGCTTACTTTCTAATTTTTTTAGTAGTATATTCCTTATTGAGATGCTACTTAAAGCCATTTGACATACATACTTACATACATATATATTTTTTCATTAAACTGGTTGATCACTTGTACAAATAAAAGTTTTTCCTATTCTGTTATTGGATCATGGCTGAGGGGGAAAAAAGTCACCATAAAATTTAATTATTTTTGTTTTTATTTTAGATTTCTATGTTTGAAAAAGGGAAGGCTCCTAAGATTGTCAACCTAAGAGAAATACAAGATGACATGCAGACGTTGTATATAAACACAGCATCTGATAGTTTTGAGTTCAAGGCTCATGTTGAAGGAGACGGTGTAGTGGAAGGGATAATCCGATTTCATCCTTTCTTGTATGATAGAGAGACTTACCCTGATGATCCATGCTTTCCATCAAGTATGTTAATCTGTTTTCTTAGGTAACAAATGTGATGTTGTAATAGTTTTTAAAACAATGATTACTATCTGGACTATTAAGATTAGATAAATAAAAAATATTTTTTTCTTATGCAAGTCTTAGGTTGTTAGATATTTATAATTTTTATAACTTTTTATATGTATTCAGTTCCAAATTTAAAAAAAGCACTGATTGGTAAGAAACTGTTCTTTCTTAGATCTTTTATTGAACTAAAATTTTAGATATGTATGCATATTGATCCTTTATATATTCCCTAAATTATAGGTATTTACGAGGAAGTTTTTACACTCAATGTAGTCATAGCTGTCCAATTTTTTAATCATAGTTTGATTTTGTTTTACTATAGAAAGGGTTTTTGTACCTTAAGAGTTTTAAAAGATTCTGTAGGTTTTTGTCTTCTAAAAATTTTTGCCCTTTTATGTTCTTATGTGTAATGCATCTCTTTCATTTTTTATGTATAGAGTGATGTAGGAATTTAACTTAATATTTTCTTTGTGGTGTTCATTCACTTTTAAAAAGCCCTAATGAGTTTATTGAGATTACATTGAATTATGGTAATATTACTTAGGAATTAACAATGTTGAACTTTCTCAGAATCCTTTTACTTCTCTGGGTTCTGCAATCAGATTTCCTGATTTAAATCCCATCTTTGCTGTTTTCTTTTGTGTAATTTTGAATAAACTAGTCTCTACCTTAAGTTCCTTTTCCATGAAATGGGGGTAGTGGTTCATACCTCATAGAGGTATTGTGAAGATTAAATAAAAAATTGAGGCAAAGTTCTTAGAATAATGCTCACAAATAAGTCCTTAATACATATTGTTACTCAGTGTCTCTACCTTCTGTAATACACCTGATCTCTGTTTAATGTGCTATTTTTTATTTTTATATTCTTTTTTTAAAAAAAAAATTATTAGTTATTGTTGGATTTTTCTTCATTTATTTGTTTATATGTGGTGTTGAGAATCGAACCCAGTGTCTCACACATGCTAGGCAAGCACTCTACCACTGAGCCACAACCCCAGCCCTGATTTTTATATTCTTGTAGACAGATATAGTTACTCAAAATTGTATTAAAAATAGACAAACTTTAGATAGGGCAGAGGGGGTTGGAGGGAAAGGGAGGGAGCATGGGGTTAGAAATGATGGTGGAATGTGATGGACATTATTATCCGAAGTACATGTATGAAGACACGAATTGGTGTGAGTATACTTTGTATACAACCAGAGATAAGAAAAGTCATGCTCTATATGTGTAATAAGAATTGTAATGCATTCATCTGTCATATATAAATTTTAAAAAATTAATTAAAAAAAAAATGAGAACCTCTAGCCAGGCACAGTGGTGCATGCCTGTAATCCCACAGGCTCAGAATGCTGAGGCAGGAGGGTTGTGAATTCAAAGCTAGCCTCAGCAATTCAGGGAGCCCCGAAGCAATTCACCAAAACCCTGTAACTAAATAAAATATTTTAGAAAGGGTTGGGGATGTGGCTCACTGGCTAAGCATCCCTAGGTTTAATCCCTGGTTTATTAAAAAAAAAAAGAGCCACTAAGTTGAGTGATGACCTCCAGGGTTCTATAAAAGCAAAGTGATTTGGATTAAAAAAAAAAAAAAAACAAACCCAAAACAACTTTTACATAGGGACTTCTGTTTTTGAGAGGAAAAGGCTTTATTTTTAGTTAGATGACTTACTGACAGGATAGCCAAGGCATTAATATATTAGGATCATAATGTCTGATCTTAATTTATCTGGGCATATGAGAATGTATTGCTAAGAAACAGTTTATGGATAATTGGGCTAATCATGCTTTGGTACATGTTAACATATCTTGTAATTCTATTTGTGTGCACATTGCCTGCCTACTTAAATCTGATCTTTGAAAAGGTGGTGATTTATATCAAATTTAGTTCAGAATTATTGACTGATTTGTCCAAACCAGGCAAACTTGTTCCTTCTAGACACTTTATCTTTTCTCAGGGGATTTTCATGTGAACATATTTGTTCTTTCTTAATTGTGCAACTGTGTTTTAGATGTAGAATTTAGACACTTATATTTGTAGAGGAGAGGGATTTTGTTGTAGGACATGATCTTTTTGGATATATGACTGTTTTAATTCTGTAAATAGATTTGAAGCTGCAAGCTAATCGATTAGCATGTTATTCTTAGTACAAATTGGTAGGTTTATAATAATCACTTTAAATGACAAATGCTGTTAGTAATATGGAACCACTTTGAAGTCTCCCTTTTTGAAGGCAAACCAAGTAAAATTTATAGGATTTATAGGGCACAATTTGAAGGATCACATGGGTTTTTGTTATCATTTTCTCTGATGTAAAATTAATGTGTATTTTAGTCATAGAAATTGGCTTAGGTAGGGGTTGGGGTTGTGGCTCAGCAGTAGAGCACGTGCCTCACACATGTGAGGCACTGGGTTCCATCCTCAGCACCACATAAAAATAAATAAATAAGCAAAATAAAGGTATTGTGTCCATCTACAACTAAGAAAAAAAATTTTTTTTAAAAAGAAATTGGCTTAATAATAAAAATTGATCCTACTTTATAGAAATAAAAACATTCCACTTACACTTTCTATTTAGAATTAAAAGATGAAGAGGATGATGATGATTGTTTCATGCTTGAGAAAGCAGCAAGAGGGAAAAGACCTATTTTTGAATGTTTTTGGAATGGACGATTAATACCATATACATCAGTTGAAGAGTAAGTTTTGGTTTTTGCTAAAATTACATCATTTTATAACCTAATCTTTTTACTAACTGATGTTTTGTTTTGTTCAAGTTTTGACTGGTGTACTCCTCCTAAGAAGAGAGGGCTTGCACCAATTGAATGCTACAACAGAATATCTGGTGCATTATTCACTAATGACAAATTTCAGGTCAGCACAAATAAACTGACATTCATGGATCTTGAGTTGAAATTGAAAGATAAGAACACCCTTTTTACAAGGATTTTAAATGGACAGGTATGACTTTAAGTATTAAGTTTTGAGTGTTTGCAAAATTCTATTAAGTAAAACCAAAGACACTAGTAATATAGATTTTTTTGAAGTTATTATGCATACTTTGGATTTAGTCAATCAAAAGATTATGGTGCTTAAATATTTTTATATACTTTCAACTGTTTATAACTCATTTCAAATTAATTAGACAATATTTAGATAAAATTTTATTTTTTAGATTTAGTATTAAGGCAGACAGTGAATAGAAGAAGACGACTTAAAGCAGCTTTATTTAATGGGAGCATGTATGAACATCTGTGTGTATCATGGGCTCTGCACATTAATAACCTGACTATATGATTTTAATCTAGTCTGGATAAAAAAATGGAAAAGAACTATAAAATACTTTCTGCTAAAAGATGATTTCAAGTTAGTCAATGTTATTAATATTAATTAATATGGAAGATTTCAATTTGAAGAAACATTAAGAAATTGAATGGGGGGGCTGGGGTTGTGGCTTAGTGATGGAGTGCTTGCCTAGCACGTGCGAGGCCCTGGGTTTGATCCTCAGCACCACATATAAATGAATAAAACAAAGGTATTGTGTCCAACTACAACTAAGAAAATAAATAAATGTTGAATGGAACTAGTGTACATTTTCTACCCACATAGCTCAGAAATTTTTACTTGATACTACTCTTTCAGTAGTTTAATGCTGTATTGCCAAGAGATTTTTATTATCAGCTTAAAATTGCTAAGTAATAAATACAACATAGCATGTGGTGTTTATAGCCAGTCATTCCTATAAGATGTTGAAATTAGTTTTGCTATTGTAAAGATTCAGAATCATAGAAGATTGATAAACTTTTTAAGAATTATTCACTGAAGGGCTGAGGATATAGCTAATAAATAGTAGCTCAGACCTAGAAGCCAGCTTGTTCTTTTTCTGGCCAGCCAGTATTTTTTATTTTGGTAGTTAGTGTAGGATTTAAAGCAAGAAATAAAAGTTTTGTTGTTGGGTATTCACCACTGAGACTTTGGTTTCAAGGATGATATTCAAAGATTTCTTAAGTAATACTTTTGTTTGAAATTAAATTTTTACAGAAGGATCCCCAGCAAGGGGGTTGGGAAAAGGACAAAACCAGAAAGATCCAGCAAAATATTTTCATTTTTTTACTAGTTTTTCTGAAGTGTGGTATATGAAAGAAAAAAATGAAATGAGTGACATATTTCCATGGCTATATTTGTTTACTAGTAACTATATTCATATAACATTTTAAAATTTTCAGGAGCAGCGAATGAAAATTGACCGAGAATTTGCTTTATGGCTCAAGGACTGTCATGAAAAGTATGACAAACAGATAAAATTTACACTTTTTAAAGGAATAATTACCCGTCCTGATCTTCCCTCTAAAAAGCAAGGCCCCTGGGCAACATACTCAGCAATAGAATGGGATGGAAAAATATACAAAGCAGGACAGCTGGTAGGTTTAACTTACATTTAGACTTAGTTTTTAGTAGAATTTGAAACTAAATTAGTTTTTTGTATTAAAATTTAAAATAATGCATTTGTTAGCTCTAAGGAATTAGTATAGAATGAAAAGGATAAACTGATTTTAATTACATAATTTACTATGACATTTTAAAAAGGAAAGCTTGTTTATTGCCAGAGGCTCATTTAGCAAGATTTTTTAATTGTTTCTTATTCTAATTTTTAGTTACATGGAGATCAAAGTTGTTTTAATGTGTTGTGAAATATTTTTTTTAGTCTTTTTTTTTTTTTTTTTGAGGGTAGGTGCACCTGCTTACTCACTGTACCTTTTGACTGCATTGAGGAGAATGCAGAGATGGAGGAAATGTGCTTTGTTTCTAGTGTTATTATAACCTAAGAGCAGAGACAACATAAACATACATAAAAATAGCTAATAGGGGCATAAGTGTACTGAAGAGAGAAGGATAGTTTGGAAGGACAGGAGGCAATTTTCTGAATTTGGAAGAAGACAACAAATCATGAAGTACTTGGGTGAAGAAGCAGCATTTTTTGTGAACTTTAAAAGAGGTAGAGGCTTGCATCTACACAGATAATTAACAAAAGTAGAAAGACATCTATTCTTACCTAAAATTCATTAATGTGAGGGTCACCATCATATATTTAAAGCCTTGGAATTGGATGAGATCATTCCTTGAAGTAGTGAATATAGCTGAAGAGGCCAAGTCTGAGCTTAAAGCATTAACACCAACATTTAAGGGTTAACATTAACACTTAGGGTTTGGCATTAACATATAAGGTTTAGAATATAAAGAAAGAGTTGGCAAAGGAATACTGAAAGGATAAGCTTGTGAGATCCAAGGAAACTAGAATATAGTATCCCTGAAGCCAAGTGAAGAATTATAAGGAGGAAGTAATCACATTTGTCAAATACTTTGTGGCAGTGGGGCAAATATTTTCTAGAAGATCCTATAGCAAGCAATAAATGTTGGGTTGTCCTGCAGCCTACCTTGTATGGAAAAAATGTAGTAGAAATGAGGCTAAGAAGGGTAGATTGGTTATAAAGTCTTAAAAGTACTTCTTGGGAATTTCTGAATTGAAATAATGGAAATATTAAAAATATTACTTTTTATAAAGTGCACTTTATGAAAATAATTTTATTAAAATATTACAGTGCTTTTGTTTTTCTGATGATGGTTATCAAGGTGTTTTGCATTGTATAAAGGAATTTTGTAAAGTTGTTATTATTAAACCTGTTAGTAATATTAATACTTTAGCCTTTTTTTTTTTTTTTAACTAATTTATTAGGTCAAGACAATCAAGACACTCCCCCTCTTTTATGGAAGCATAGTAAGATTTTTTCTTTATGGTGATCATGATGGAGAAGTATATGCTACAGGAGGAGAAGTTCAAATTGCAATGGTAAGACAGTAAGTAATAAAAATATGTACTGATAGACTCTTGGTACCACTTTTGTGTAATCATTGAAATAAAGACACAGTATTTTATATTTTGCTTGCACTTGGTCTTTCCATTGGATAAAGCAGTTGTAGTTAGCTTGAATTTTTGCTTCATATTTAATGTTTTTAATAATCTTTAGAACTTAACATCTACATGCCCAATGTTTTACAAATACACACACACACACACACACATACACACATATATATATAGTTATAGTTATCATGGGGGTTTTGTAAAGTGTACATTTCCTCCAGGGCCTATAAGCTAGTAAACATTGGAGCAAGAATTCTCTCCTAAGAATGAGTAACTGCAAGAATAGAATGAGTTTTTTCCCTACATATCTTGTTATTTGAGTGGTTTATCATTTGGACAATGGAGATTACATAAAAAATGAAAATAGATACTCTTGTATAATGTAAGAATAACTATTCTCATTTAAGTAAGGGAAAATGGGGCTGGGATTGTAGCTCAGTAGTAGAGTGCTTGCCTAGCATGAATGAGGCACTGGGTTCAATCCTCAGCACCACATAAAAATAAATAAGTAAATAAAATAAAGGTATCTGTCTTTAACAACAACAACAACAAAAAAGTTAAAAATTAACACTTTAAAAAGGTAAAATAGATCACTTTGACAGAAACAAGTGGCGTTTGCAGTTAAATTTAAATGGTTTTCTTTGGAATGTTGGTATAAATTAATTTTATTAATTCAGGAACCTCAGGCACTATATGATGAAGTGAAAACTGTCCCAATTGCAAAGCTGGATAGGACAGTCGCTGAGAAAACTGTGAGAAAATATGTAGAAGATGAAATGGCAAGGTAAGTCATTTCTAGAAATATGGCAAAAATAAAAAATTCAAGAGGCATTGTAATGCTTTTAAGTATCCTTGAGTGTGTCATTTACCCTTCTGATAGTGCTTTGTAGTTTTAAGATAATGTATAGATAGGTGTCGGTGGTATGGCACAGATGTAGAGCATGTGACTACCATGCATGAAGCCCTGGGTTCAATCTCCAGCACTGAAGAAAAAAAAATGTTCTACATATTGAGGTGAACTTCTTGACATTAAATATTAAATGTCTGTTTACCAAAAAAAGAACCCTACATTTGTAGGAGAAAAGGATATCTTATGTATCTGAAGTATTATATTTTTAGGTACCATGATTATAATAGGCATTTATTAAAAAGCAACCTGTTTTGTCTAATAACTATGTGAAAATTATAATGCCTTTGTGTTAGTCTCCTTTTTGCCCTATGACCAAAACTACCTTATAAGAGCATCTTAGAGGAGGAAAAGTTTATTTTGGCTTATGTATTCAGAGGTCTCAGTCCATAGTCTGCTTAGTCCATCACTCTGGGCCTGAGGCATAGCTTCATGGCAGAAGAAGATGGAGGAGGAAAGCTGCTCACCTTATGGAAACCAGGAAGCAAAGGGGAAGGAGGCTAAGAGAAAAAATAAAATCCTAAAGGGCACACCCCCAGAGACCTACATCTTCCACCCACACTCCACCTTCCTACAGTTATTTACCCGCATAGTTCATTCAAATTAATCTACCAAATGGATTAATAATTTGGAAAGAGTTGCTTATCTTCTAGTTCTCTAACTTTAACCAACTATTGTTAACTTAATCCATCAAATCGTTTAATCCACTGATTTGGTTAGAGTTCCCATAATCTGATTATTTTACCTCCTGCATCAGCACAGGAGCTTTTTAGACTATATCTTATATCCAAACTTTAACAACCTTCTAAAAAGCAAAATTTTTACTTCTGCAAATTTTGCTTATGTATTGATGATGTAATCATTTTGTTTTTTACTGAAATTTTCTCTTCTTAGAGTTCATCCTCTCTCAAGATATTTTGACTTGCTTTTTTTGGAAGCTACAGCAAAATTAAAGAAAAGAAAAAACATTTTAGTTGATTAGTCATATAAATTTCCAGATTTAACCTTTCAAATATGTATATATCAACAATAAGTCTTTTTTAAAAATTTTATTGTTTAGTTTTAGGAGGACACAATATTTTTGTTTTATGTTTATGTGGTGCTGAGAATTGAACCCAGTGCCTCCCGCATGCTAGCCGAGCATGCTACCACTTTGAGCCACATCCCCAGCCCCTCAACAATAACTCTTTAAAGGAAGTCTAGTAGAGCAGGGAGAGGATGCGAGGAAAAAAGAGGGGGGATCATGAAGTGAAATGGATTTCTATGTATGTATGAGTTTGTCATGATGAACCCACTACTATGTATAACTATGAAACTCTTAAAAGAAGAAAAAAAACTAAGATTCTAGTAACTTATATACTTTTTCTGGGGGGATAGGTGGTATTGTATATTGAACACAGGGTCTCACACATGCCAGGTAGTTAAGTTGTATATTTCTAATTAAGACTATAATTAACCAAATTTATGAAACATTAATAGGTTAATTTCATTATAGGCTCCCTGATAGATTGTCAGTAACTTGGCCTGAAGGAGATGAATTGTTGCCTAATGAGATTAGGCCTGCTGGAACCCCTATTGGTATGTAATCATTGAAATAAAGACACAGTATTTTATATTTTGCTTGCACTTGATCTTTCCATTGAATAAAGCAGTTAGCAGTTGTAGTTAGTTTGAATTTTTGCTTCATATTTAATGTTTTTAATAATCTTTAGAACTTAACATCTTATGTCTTTGTCTAGTTTGTTGTTTTTCTAATACCAAAAAAAATGCTTTTATTTTGTCTTATATTTCTAATAAGTAAAGAACCATGAAAAATTAAAATGTGATAGGAAAACCTAGCAGATTAAGTAGAGTTTTGGGGTGTAATTAAGATATGCTTTATTTTAACTTTTAACTCATAGGTGCATTAAGAATTGAAATACTGAATAAAAAGGGAGAGGCAATGCAAAAGCTTCCAGGAACAAGTCACGGAGGTTCAAAGAAACTCCTAGTTGAGCTTAAAGTTATATTACACTGTAAGTATACAGACAAATTCAGACCTTTAATGTTGTTCTTAAAGATGTGCTACAGATTTGAGTATCTTCTTGTACTTATTGATGACAGTAATCTGATGATAGTGAATTTGATTAAAGTTAAAAATTTTATGTGTGATATAAATAGTTCACTTTTTATTACTAAGGTTTATGTTTTTCAAAACTAGCCTGAATGTTCCCAGAAATGTAATTATGAGATAAAGAACAGGTATGATACATATGTGTAGAACTACTAATTTAGATAATCATTAAGGTCTCTTCCAAATGAAAACTACTGTGGCTCTAAACCTGTGAACCAGAAGTACTTAACCCCAGATACTAGGCCTGGTCCTTTTTTGTGGTTAAGGGGAAAGAGCTGACCTTCTTGGTGGCACATGCCTATAATCACACCTACTTAGGAGATTGAGGGCAGGTTCAGGGCTATCCTAGGCAACTTAGCAAGACCCTGTCTCAAAATTTAGAATGGTGGGGCATGCATTTCAATGGTAGAGTGCTTACCTAGCATGAAGAAGCATCTGGGTTTAATCTGTAGTACCACAAAATATAAATAAAATAAATAAATAATACATGAGGTGGGAAGAGCTGAATATTACTGCTTATCTTCTAGTTCCTTAACTCTAACACGCCTGTTAATAACATTCTTATTCATTGTTTTGTCTCAACTGCCTAAAATATTTTCTTTTATATTTGAATAATCTATTTTGTCACTGTATACTTGTTTGTCTACGCCACAGATCATTCAAGATTTGGTATTCTTAGTTTAACTGGTTTTTTTTTTTTTTGGTACCAGGGATTGAAGCCAAGGGTGCTTAACCATGAAGGCAAATTCCCAGCCCTTTTTATTTTTTTATTTTGAGACAATGTCTTCCTGAGTAGGGCCTCCCTGAGTTGCTCAGGCTGACCTCAAACTTGAGATCCTCCTGCCTCAGTCTCTCAAATTGCATGGATTACAAGTGTTCACCACCATGCATGGCCTTGAACTTTTTTTTTTAAAGTAGTTTTTACTCTAATTTTTATTTTAATCCATTAACTTATTTTTATGTGCTTCTAGTGTATGCAGGTATCTAGATTGCCTGGCAACATTTATAAAAAGACTATCCTTTCCCTATTGAATGATCATGGCACCCTTGTTAAATCAACTTACCATATATGTGAAGGCTTACAGGGTGGGTTTTTTTGTATTGGGTGTTTTTTTTTTTTTTGGTTGTTCAAAACATTACAAAGCTCTTGACATATCAAATTTCATGCATTAGATTCAAGTTGGTTATGAACTCCCAATTTTACCCCAAATACAGATTGCAGAATCACATCGGTTACACATCCACATTTTTACATAATGCCCTATTAGTAACTGTTGTATTCTGCTACCTTTCCTATCCTCAACTATCCCCCCTCCCCTCCCCTCCCATCTTCTCTCTCTACCCCATCTGCTGTAATTCATTTCTCTCCTTGTTTATTTTCCCATTCCCCTCACAACCTCTTATATGTAATTTTGTATAACAATGAGGGTCTCCCTCCATTACCATGCAATTTCCCTTTTCTCTCCCTTTCCCTCCCACCTCATGTCTCTGTTTAATGTTAATCTTTTCTTCCTGCTCTTCCTCCCTGCTCTGTTCTTAGTTGCTCTCATTATATCAAAGAAGACATTTGTTATTTTTTTTTTAGGGATTGGCTAGCTTCACTAAGCATAATCTGCTCTAGTGCCATCCATTTCCCTGCAAATTCCATGATTTTGTCATTTTTTAGTGCTGCGTAATGCTCCATGGTGTATAAATGCCACATTTTTTTTATCCATTCATCTATTGAAGGGCATCTGGGTTGGTTCCACAGTCTAGCAATTGTGAATTGTGCTGCTATGAACATCGATGTAGCAGTATCCCTGTAGTACGCTCTTTTAAGGTCTTCAGGGAAAAGTCCAAGAAGGGCAATAGCTGGGTCAAATGGTGGTTCCATTCCCAGCTTTCCCAGGAATCTCCATACTGCTTTCCAGATTGGCCGCACCAGTTTGCAGTCCCACCAGCAACGTACAAGAGTACCCCTTTCCCCACATCCTCTCCAGCACTTGTTGTTGTTTGACTTCATAATGGCTGCCAATCTTACTGGAGTGAGATGGTATCTTAGGGTGGTTTTGATTTGCATTTCTCTGACTGCTAGAGATGGTGAGCATTTTTTCATGTACTTGTTGATTGATTGTATGTCCTTCTCTGAGAAGTGTCTGTTCAGGTCCTTGGCCCATTTGTTGACTGGGTTATTTGTTATCTTATTGTCTAATTTTTTGAGTTCTTTGTATACTCTGGATATTAGGGCTCTATCTGAAGTGTGTGGAGTAAATATTTGTTCCTAGGATGTAGGCTCCCTATTTACCTCTCTTATTGTTTCTCTTGCTGAGAAAAAACTTTTTAGTTTGACTATGTCCCATTTGTTGATTCTTGTTATTAACTCTTGTGCTATGGGTGTCCTATTAAGGAATTTGGAGCCCGACCCCACAATATGTAGATCGGAGCCAACTTTTTCTTCTATCAGACGCAGAGTCTCTGATTTGATATCAAGCTCCTTGATCCACTTTGAGTTAACTTTTGTGCATGGCGAGAGGAGGGGATTCAGTTTTATTTTGTTGCATATGAATTTCCAGTTTTCCCAGCACCATTTGTTGAAGATGCTATCCTTCCTCCATTGCATGCTTTTAGCTCCTTTATCAAATATAAGATAGTTGTAGCTTTGTGGATTAGTCTCTGTGTCCTCTATTCTGTACCATTGGTCCACCTGCCTGTTTTGGTACCAGTACCATGCTGCTTTTGTTACTATTGCTCTTTAATATAGTTTGAAATCTGGTATCGCTATACCGCCTGATTCACACTTCCTGCTTAGAATTGCTTTTGCTATTCTGGGTCTTTTATTTTTCCATATGAATTTCATGATTGCTTTATCTATTTCTACAAGAAGTGCCTTTGGGATTTTGATTGGCATTGCATTAAACCTATAAAGAACTTTTGGTAATATCGCCATTTTGATGATGTTAGTTCTGCCTATCCATGAACAGGGTATGTTTTTCCATCTTCTAAGATCTTCTTCTTCTTCTCTTTTTAGGGTTCTGTAGTTTTCATTGTATAGATCTTTCACCTCTTTTGTTAGGTTGATTCCCAAGTATTTTATTTTTTTTGAGGATATTGTGAATGGAGTGTTTTTCCTCATTTCTGTTTCAGAAGTTTTGTCGCTGATATACAGAAATGCCTTTGATTTATGCGTGTTGATTTTATATCCTGCCACTTTGCTGAATTCATTTATTAGTTCTAGTAGTTTTTTTGTAGACCCTTTTGGGTCTTCTAGGTATTGAATCATGTCACCTGCAAATAGTGATAATTTAAGTTCTTCTTTTCCTATTTTTATGCCTTTAATTTCTTTCGTCTAATTGCTCTGGCCAGTGTTTCGAGAACTATATTGAATAGAAGTGGTGATAGAGGGCATCCCTGTCTTGTTCCAGATTTTACAGGGAATGCCTTTAATTTTTCTCCATTCAGAATGATGCTAGCCTGAGGCTTAGCATATATAGCTTTTACAATGTTGAGGTAAGTTCCTGTTATTCCTAGTTTTTCTAATGTTTTGAACATAAAGGGATGCTGTACTTTGTCGAATGCTTTTTCTGCATCTATCGAGATGATCATATGGTTCTTATCTTTAAGACTATTGATGTGGTGTATAACATTTATTGATTTCCGTATATTGAACCAACCTTGCATCCCAGGTATGAATCCTACTTGATCATGGTGCACAATTTTTTTGATGTGCCTTTGTATCCGATTCGCCAGAATTTTATTGAGGATTTTTGCATCTAGGTTCTTCAGAGTTATTGGTCTGTAGTTTTCTTTCTTTGAGGTGTCTTTGTCTGGTTTCGGAATCAGGGTGATGTTGGCCTCATAGAATGAATTTGGCAGAGCTCCCTCTTTTTCTATTTCCTGAAATAACTTGAAAAGTATTGGTAATAATTCTTCTTTAAAGGTTTTGTAAAACTCCGCTGTATACCCATCTGGTCCTGGGCTTTTCTTGGTTGGTAGTCTTTTGATTGCTTCTTCTATTTCATCCATTGATATTGGTCTGTTCAAATTGTGTGTATCCTCCTGACTCAGTCTGGGCAAATCATATGACTTAAGAAATTTATCGATGTCTTCACTATCTTCTATTTTATTGGAATATAGGTTTTCAAAATAATTTCTAATTGTCTTCTGTATTTCTATAGCATCTGTTGTGATATTGCCTTTTTCATCCCGTATGTTAGTAATTTGAGTTCTCTCTCTTCTTCTCTTCGTTAGCATGGCTAAGGGTCTGTCGATCTTATTTATTTTTTCGAAGAACCAACTTTTAGTTTTGTTAATTTTTTCAATAGTTTCTTTTGTTTCAATTTCGTTGATTTCCGCTCTGATTTTAATCATTTCTTGCCTTCTGCTACATTTGCTGTTGTTTTGCTCTTCCATTTCTAGGGCTTTGAGATGTAGTGTGAGCTCATTTATTTGTTGGTTTTTCCTTTTTTTGAGGAATGACCTCCTGGCGATGAATTTCCCTCTTAAAACTGCTTTCATTGTGTCCCATAGATTCCGATATGTTGTGTCTGTATTTTCATTTATCTCTAAGAATTTTTTGATTTCCTCCTTTATGTCTTCTGTAACGCATTGATCATTCAGTAACATATTGTTCATTTTCCATGTGATGTAGGATTTTTCCTTCCTTCTTTTATCATTGATTTCCAGTTTCATTCCATTATGATCAGATAAAATGCACGATATTATCTCCACCCCTTTATATTTACTGAGGGTTGCCCTACGGCATAATATATGGTCTATTTTTGAGAAGGATCCATGTACTGCTGAGAAAAAAGTATATCCACTTGATGATGGTTGATATATTCTATATATGTCAGTTAAGTCAAGGTTATTGATTGTGATATTGAGTTCTATAGTTTCTTTATTCAACTTTTGTTTGGAGGATCT